GAGACTACGAAGTCATAAATCATTTTCTTGAGCAATGGGATCCAAACAACAGCACGACCTATTATGATAAGTTTGTCGAAGTAGTCGACCACATATCAGAATTCTATGTACCTCTTCAGCGTCAAGTGGAGACCTTCGAAAATCCGTAGATTACTAGAGCTCATGTTAAATTGATAAACCAAAAAAAGAAAAGCATGGCATTTATACAGAGGTTTTGGTGAGAATTGTGACCTACGGGCATACAATGTGCTAAAAAACCGAATCACCCAAACATTAAGTTATGCTCGGTCGACTTTTGAGAGTCTCCTAGAGCAGGGTCCAAGAAGGTTCCTACCAGTATATCAACCGTTCGCTTCAATCTAGGCTTCAAAACTTTGTCTTAAGAAATTCAGACAACCATCTTGAGCCTGAACCACAAAGAGTGGGGGAAATATTCAGCAATCAATTCGACAGAATATTTATACACGAAGACACAACAACTATACCACAACTTTCCGCAGCCAAACGGTCAGGACCCACACTTGAAAATATTGTTTTTTACCCCACAGAAGGTGAAAAAGGTGCTGCTTGATCTGAGGGTCTCTGCCAGTCCAGGACTGATGTATGAGGTTTCCCCAATATTGCTAAAAAACTGCAGCGCGACCATGAGTGGAATCCTTGCAAGCAGTGGCGTAGCCAGACCAAACGTGGGCGTCGGCGACATCCGAATTGCGAGGCCCTTTTTATGTAGGGTGGCCATATGTCTTGTGAAAAAAAGCTGGACAGGGACGGGTAGCCGCCGGCAGGCCCGCCAAAGGATAACCGCCGAAAGCGAGAATTTTTCAAGTATCACGCCACTTTTTCCGGACATATCAACGGTATTCGATAACAATACAGGGTGTATCAGGTTTGACCTCAAAGATTTTAATTCGTGAAAATATGGCCCATTTTGAACAAAAAAAGTTTCTACTACATGGGGTCAAAACTCAACCATTTTTAAGAAAAAAACCTTTGAAGTTTTGACATTTTTTGACGAATGTTTGAAGGATAAAGAAAATTCTAATCATTAGGAGATGTAATAGTTATTTAAACAACAAGTTTTGAAAACGACTTTTTTCGCACGGCAAGACAGTTTGTCGAGCAAGTGTGAAAAAAGGTTTTCAAACGAGTTTTTTACAATGCTTTTCCTACAACTGCAAAATAAAGCAACCAAATATGTGATTTTCATTTGTTAGAAAACTTGAAGCGTGTGAAAAACTTTTTCGCACGCTGTGCGAAAAACTCTAATTTCAGAGGTTGCCTAGCGTGCGAAAAACTCCATTTTCAGAGGCAGTCGTAGGAAAAAAATTTTAATTCATTCAATTATTAAGTGATTATGCTAGTCAACAACAATAGTAAAAAAACTGAAAAAAAAAAGAAAATTTCACTCGAAATCGGTATCTAAACATCTGGCAACATAGCACAACACACACACTTGATTTGTCTGATGTCAGTTAGATTCATTCTTTTTTGAAAATAAAATGTACACGAATGTCGGACATGCAGATTCTTGTTTAGGCCGAATCGTTGCAAAATGCCCATTTAGCCGCCAGAATTTACAGGGAAAGATTTTCCAAGAGCACCCACCTGATGAAAGAACATTGGGCCAGTTTTACCAATATTGCGTGATACGGGAAGTGTGAATGTGCAAAATTGCCTGTTGATTTGAGTGTTTTCAGAACTGTTTAACCAAAAATTAATATTTCCATAATGAGGATTTGGCGAGTAGTTGAGTTAATACTTACTCATCTAATTTTTCTCTTGAATTATTGCAAAAATGTAATTGAGTGAAATTCCCAACTTAATAAATGTAACTATCAACTGTCAAAATTACATACAAAATAAGGTAATAGTCTAACACCCACTATACACTCTTCCAATAACTGATATTTTCTTGGAAAAATAGTACTTATGCACTAATAAAATAATGCAGATCCTTAATGGAAATAAATAAACTCCTTGCAAAAAAAAAACTTTAAATTTATCAGTTATATTTACATTTATATCTTGGGGCCCGATTCTCGTCTCAGGGAGTAGAGTTCCCAGATAGAATGAATGTTTTGTCCTTGTCAACGTAATAGAAAAGTAAACGAGAAGCTCTACACTCCCTGAGACTGAGACGAGAATCGGGCCCCTGGCAGAAATAATACCTATACGATGTTGTCACGTTGTTAACATTTTTCTACATTTAGATTCTGCTAAAACTCTGAAAATCCTAACAATTGACCCATGGTTAATGGGCAATTTCTTGCTTGAAATGGGCCATATTATCTCGTGGTAAAATATTTGTTTTCATACCTGATACATCCTGTATTTAGTCAAAAATAATAATCTTTTTCCGCTAACAAATCCTTCCAACCAAAAATAAATTTCTCATCTATTACATTATCACACAAACATGGATCGAAAAATTTTAGTAGGAATCAGGCAATTTTTTAGGAAATTAGGAAACCTTATAATTTTTGAACCTCTGTATGTTAGTATGTTTGTTGTTGTACAAAATCAAATGCTGGACAGACTTTCAAAATGCTGTAGAATGTACAATACAGCGAATTACTGTACGTACCACCCTATTTTTATGTCTTGGTCAGTTGACAGTTAGGAAAAATGCTAATTAATTGAATTAAACCATATGATTTGAGAGCTGTAGGTTAATTTGCAGTAGAATTAATAATTTTCAGTTAATTCTATAATATGTATTTAGAAGTTTCGTTTAGTTTTAAGTTTATTTGTGCTCTCCGTTTTATTTACGGAAATCGAAAAGTGCCAATTGTTAGGTTTGGTAACCTATTTTATTGCGAGGCTCCTCAGGGCGCGAGGCCGTCGGCGGTCGCCGACGCCGACGCCTAGCTACGCCACTGCTTGCAAGAACAAAGACAGAATCATTAACAGATGGCATAGTCCCAGAAGCGTGAAAAAATGCAATTGTCATTCCGAATAGAAGGCGATAAACACCTAGCTGAAAACTATAGGCCTATCAGTTTAGCATCCATACCTACCCTGCAAATGTATGGAAAAGAATATAGCTACTGAAATGACAGAATTCCTTATGACCCATCAAGGTGATCGACTATCCAATCAGCATGGTTTTCTGCCGGGGAGATCAGCATTCAATCTCCTGTCCAGCCTGGAACACTGGACCAAGTCATCTGCAGAGCATTATCCAATTGACGTTGTGTACCTCGGCTCTGAAAAGGCGTTTGACACTGTTTCTTCAGAGAGAGTGTTTCACAAGCTTGAGCATTGTGGTATACGGGGTCGGCTGCTTCGATGGATTCGGAAATACTTGAGTAGTCGGACATACCAAGTCAGAATAAATGGCACCTTATCTGGCAAGCACTGTGTAGTCAGTGGAGCTCCACAAGGCTCTGTGCTGGGCCCACTTCTATTTATAATTTAAGTCTCAGATATTGCACAGAACATGTCCTGTAGGACCAGTAGGTATGCCGATGACACCAAGATATTCTGTGTCCCTACATTTCAACATGGTGCCATGGTTGAGAATCTTGCTGAGCTGGATAGGTGGACGAAGGACTGGTTATTGGATCTTAATGTCAGCAAATGTTGTGTGTTGCACATTGGACACAACAATCCTATGCTGGACTACCATATGGGCAATAACAACCTGGGAAGGGTGACTGAGCAGGCCGACTTAAGAGTGAATATCTCACATGACCTAATATGGGAACAGCACATACATGCAATCGTGAAGCGAGCCAACTCAACAGTCTATCTGATACGACGCTGTTTTAGAGAAATGTCCTCTGGAGTGTTTCTCCGAGCCAACAAAACCTACATCAGACAACTGCTGGAGCATGCTGTTGTGGTATGGTATCCCTATTTCAGAAAAGACATAGATCTGATAGATCCACCATCTTTAAGAGAATTGTCTTATGAAGAACGTCTGGCAACTCTGGAGGAACGCAGAAATAGAGGGTACTTAATCAAAACATACAAAATTCTACATAATCATTACACATGCGACATTGATTTCTCTCACAGAAACATCAACCCTCATCTGCCTGGACACTCCCTGGAGCTCTCCACCGAACTTTGTCACAGACTTTCCAGGAAGAATTTTTTCACAAATCGAGTGGTGCAACAGTGGAATCGGCTCTCTGACGAGATTGTGACCTCCCCTAGTGTGAATGCATTTAAGAATAGACTTGATAAATATCTTAGTGATAGGCCGTAAAATAGTGTACTGGCAAGTAACATTCCCAGCACAAGGACTAATGACAGTCTACCGGGTTTTTTGCCTACTCTCAGAAACCCCTATAATAATAAATCCCATATAATAATAATAAAGGATAGAAGGAAAAAACATATACCTACACGCAGTGACAAGAAAAGTCCTAAGCCTGGGTTAACTGTAAAGAAGAAGTTCAGTTTAGATAAATACCATTTCATCAAATGAAAAACATGAAAGGGGCTTTTTGCTCATTCCTGTAAATTTGTGATTCGGAGTATTCTTTTCACAATAAACTGATAGGATAGGTAAGAGGGAGAGGTGAAACCTTGAACAATATTCAAATTGACGTGAAAATTCACACACACGACTTGAAGGTGGAAAACGACACATCTTCCTATCCAACTCGTATGTCTACGTGAAAAAAAATGTCAGAGTGAATAAAAAATGGAAATGTTCGGAAAAGATCAGGTTACAATTTGGTGTTGAAAACTGTTCTCAATTTTCAGTGGTTCACTCCACAAGTATTCTTAAAAAACTTTGAAAATTACTGAATTTCTTTCCATCCCTGTATATGATATAAAGAGCGGTAATACGTCAGATGAATCAAGTTGCAATCTGTGAAAAATACATCAAAATTGAATGCTTATTTAGATTTGAACAGTATTGGTATTTATTGTCAAGCTAAAGAAAAATTCCAGAACATCATTATTGACCATACGTGATTCTAAATAACTGAATCACTCAAGGAATATTTTTTTTTGTCTTAATAATATTTTAATGGTTTTTTCAGATACGCAACGCATTTCGAAGTCATTTACACCCAGTATCACAATGTGTGATAAACCAAAAATATATAAAGTCGATTTTCTTATAGGCTTGATTATAGGTGACAAAAATGTCACGAATACTGTTCCCGTTTTTGTTTGTGATGGTGTTGATTTTGAGTCTACAAGCTGAAGAACATATTGAACATCAACATGTAAGCGTATCGGTAAGTTCAATCGTTCAATTTTTCACTGACAAAATCCAATAGAATTTCGCTGAAATACACATTTTTTTAGTTAGAGCCAGAACCTGTTGTCACAACTACATCTTCACAAAACCCCATTTCTACTCCCACAACAACATCCGAGTCTGTCACAGAGACAAATTCAGAAGAAACTGATGAAAATCCCTTAATTGTGGATATTTCTACTGGCAAAATTGAAGGACAAGAACTAAAAACCGTCGACCAGAAAAAACCTTATTATGCTTTTCAGGGTATACCTTATGCTAAACCACCAGTTGGTGAGCTTCGATTTATGGTAAATTCTATAAAAATCAAACTACAATCAAATTATATTAAATTTCCAGGAACCAGTTCCTGCGGAAACATGGAACTATACCATGAAAACCGTTAAAGATGGACCAATGTGTGTTCAGCTATTATCGACTTCAGGCTCAGAAGACTGTTTGTATTTGAATGTTTACTCACCAAAAGTAATGTTTTTCAATAAACATGTTTATTAGAAACTAAGATTTAAATGCCTTTTAGACAAAAAACGAAGAGAAATTGCCAGTAATGGTATGGATATACGGTGAAGCCTTTGTGGGAGGTTCTTCAAAAATGGAAAAATTCGGACCTGATTATTTTTTGGAACAAGATGTCATACTTGTGAGCTTCAATTATCGTACTGGAGTTTTTGGTGTGTAAATATTTAACCAGCTTCAGACACCAGATTATTAATTGATTCTTTAACAGGTTTCTTAAGTACCGGAGACTATGCCGCCACAGGAAACTGGGGATTAAAAGATCAAATTCTAGCACTAAACTGGGTGCAGCAAAATATTGAAAAATTCGGTGGCGATTCGAAAGATGTAACATTATTTGGACAAAGTGCTGGGGCTGCTTGCGTTTCTATTTTAATCGAAAGCCCTTTGGCTAGAGGTAAGGTACATCTTCACAAGCCTATAGATTTTTTCAAATAAGCTATATTCTATAGGACTTTTTCACAAAGCAATAATGCAAAGTGGTACCAGCCTGAACTCGTGGGCCCACTCTCAAAATGCCAAAAAATCAGTTTACGCAATGGCTCAACTTTTGGATATTAACACTAGTAATACTAACGAATTAGTGGAACACTTGAGAAAAGTAGATTATAGAACTTTACATATGGTTTCTGTATCTACTGGTTTGGCAGTAAGTAATAATAAAGTAATATCCTAAAAAAAAAAATGACTAAATAAATTCTAGGAGCTTTTAACTCACAATGCACTAAGCGGTCTTATATTTGCGCCATGCATTGAAGTGAATCATCCCGGAGCAGTTTTAACAAACTTCAGTCATAGTATCATGAAAAACGGAGATTTCAGTAGAATTCCTGTAATGGTAGGGTTCAATTCAGAAGAAGGAGCTCGTGGTGTTGATAGTAAGTAGAATAGATTTTGGTTTATTTTATTTCAAAATTCGATTTTTCAATTTTTAGTGTTGACATTCCTAAAGCCCTATGTAGCAAGTTATGATCTATTTTCCACGCGTTTAGTACCAGCAAGCTTAAACATAGAGAGAAGTCTTCAAAAGATTGTTGCAGCTCAGTTAATAAGAATGAAATATTTTGGACTGATGCCTATTAGACTTTCAAATAAGAACCTTATAGGAGTAGATTTATAGCAAATATTTAATCTAGATAATTTATTTTGTTATTTTAGTTCATCACAGATGATCAATTTGTCAGACCAATATACGAATACATAAAACAGTGTTCCAAATACACGCCAACATATTTTTATATATTTTCATATGAAGGAGCTTTAGGGGTGAAAGGTGAAAATAGGGAACCTACAGGTGTGGGGCATTCAGAAGAAAACCATTATCTATGGAATCAAGAGGATAACATTGAAAATGCACCCATTGAAGATATTTTAACGCGACAAAGATTGATTCGATTGTGGACGAATTTTGCTAAAACTGGGTAAGATAATATTCACTTCACAAACAAAATTTTTTTTCCAAGTTCCAATTCTCTGTCAGATATCCTACGCCTGAGAATGACGCACTGCTACAAAACGTAACATGGCCACCAACAAATTTCCAAACTATGGTTTACTTGAACATTACCAAAAATCTGGAATTGGGTACTAATGTTGAGAAATACAACATTCAGTTTTGGGATCATATATTCCAACGTTTTGGAAATCCGCCATACGACACTTATTGAAAAGGAACTAGAGCTAATAATTATATTCTAATAAAAACTGTATATCAATCTAGTATATTAATGAAACTTTTATGTCAATAAAGAAGCTTGAGGCGCCAAATAAAAAAAATAAAAGCAGTTAATGTACTTACAATTAGCACAGGTTCTTCGAGAGGTTCATATTTTAAATGATCAGCCACGAATCGGGCACTTTTTTCCCAAGTGCAAATTTCGGAATACGATAGAGTGGTCGGACGAATTGTTGTACAAACCATTTTCTAAATATAATAACACACAATTAAAGTTTGGACATGATGCTTTATTATTAAGAGGGTAACACTGGATTCGAATTCGCTCGAAGATGGTAACAAGTATGAAAATCTCTGTTAAAGAAGGTAACTATTAAAATTCCCTCTAATATTCTTTGACAACTCCATAAAGTATACTTAATAGTACCAGATTTGGAAAAAAATAAGAATCATCATCAAGGATTATTTACTGCTTTTGTATAGAGAGAAATTATTGTTCTCATTTTCGTCTTTGGGTCTTCTTCAAGATCTTCCTTTTTTTTAAATATCACCTTCAATTATTTGAACCTCGAATGATGACTATTGGAATGCCTTAATCCAATAAATATCCAATAAATATCACACCCATCAACATTCTTTTTCTTCGACGTTGGTTGGTCGGTTGTAAGGGGGATCTGGGCGCTGTGGCCTTCCACGAACTGCAGCCTGTTGGGCTTATTATGCACTCCAACTTTCTTCTTGCCCTACAATAGTCCTGTTCCCTGTATCAGGCCTAATATCCCTTGGACAAAAATTTCAAGCGGTACTCTATCCCCGGTCTATATTGCTCCGAAGAGTCTGTATCTTTTGTATGATAGGGACATACAGTCATATATGACGTGGGAAGCTGTTTCGTCTTCCTCTCCACATAGTCTGCATTCAGTGGGTCCATTGAGTATCCCCATCCTGTGATGATGCTTCCTCAAGTGACATTGTCCTGTCAATAGCCCTATCACTTGTTTCATCTATGTGCGCGTAAGCCGTAGTCCGTCAGTTGTTAGTTTCGTTGAAGGTTGAAGGGTTTCCTATTATAGCCCTTGCGTGATCATTTATTCATTTATCCAGTGTTGACTCTACCACTTTGATCAATATTCCAAAACTGGGCCTGGGGCCTATAAATGGTGTTGCAGCTCCAGCTCACGCTAGCCCATCTGCTTTTTAAATGCTCTCTATCCCTGAATGGCGAGAAACCCATAGGAGTCGAACCTTGTTTTCTTTAGCAAGCTGCTTCAGGTCAGTGAGGCACTCCATCGTCATTCGGAAAGTGATGCGATATGTATCCAGCGCTTTTAGTGCTGCTTGGATATCCGTGAGAATCCAGCCCCGCGTAATGCTTTGTTGGATACACGCCATGTATAGCGAAGACTTGTGCTTGATATATAGTGGTTTCACTCCCCAGTGATATGCTGACATTTATCTTGGGTCTTCGCATTCGGTCCTTCTTGACGTAACTTAAGAAGTGTACCATTATTAGCGTTATTTTGTTAACGATTAATCCTATTCCTATTAAAATTTGTGTACAAAGGAAATTTATGAAAATACGCCTCTAAACATCAATGTGACAATCGAACAAGCTTTCCGAAATATTTTCAATAATTTCTTAATTCGAAGAGAGGCAAATATTTTCAAAAAACTTCATAAATGCATATAGATTGTGCAACAGTAGAGACAGTAAAAAACTTTTAGGCTACATATTTTTAGAGTGGGTCAATTGATAAGCTTCAGAAACCCAATAAAGTCGTACCTGAAAATTGAGCAATTATCAAATTCACACTCGAAGATTGTAGGGATCGCTATTTAAATTCTACAGAAATCCCAAGTTTCTAAAGCAAAAATGCACGCTTGCATTCAAAACTCAGGCAGAAAAAAGTTCAGTCATCCCCTAGAAGATCTTTGAGGCTCGATAGTCTATGCACTCTAAGCACTTTTCTCACCCGCCTTGGGCAAATTATCCGGCAAGAAGTTCATACTCTCTTTTGGATTCTCAATGCAATCAACTCAATAATGGAAAACTACAATCATTCATTGAGGCCGCATTAGCCATACATTGCCAATACAAACAGCAAATTTCCGGAGGTTCCAGTTTTACTCAAAATCCGAATCGAAATTTTCAAATAACTGGCTATTCAGCCACGTCCAGCCTAGAACTACCAACCAATATTAAACAAACACAAAGTTACCTTCGTACCAAGGTATTCAAATATTACTCAAAAAAAATATTATTTCGCACCAAGTATCACTCCAGATTCACAAAGTTGGAGGATTGTTACCTCTTCTACCATCCAAAATTTGCTGGTCTTTCAGCTCCAGGATCTCTAGCAGGAGGGGTAGGCGGCATAGTTCGTCAATAAACACTGTGAAAAATGCACACAGAGTAAACAGGAGCCAGCTTACACCTTAATTCACGAGGAAGCGCGGATTGTATCTAAACCCATTTTGAACTGGATTAGGATAATTCATGCAAAACTAACCGAATCCTTACCCCAATCTAGAGCTACTCTAACCAGGAACGAAACAACTACATTATTAAACTATTTTTCTAATGATGTGTAAGTATGCCAACAAATTCAACAACAAGATGCTTATTACGAAAAAAGCGCATGTAATAAATATTTTCTGATAATGTACCATCGCCGCTAAGAGTATCTGGGACAAAAATAATTCATAATAATCTCCTGGACTATTTCTACCATCATTCATTTTATTCATAGTTTGACAAATATTTGACATTAAAAGTCATATAATAGTACAAGAGCTAATATGTTGCTGTCCCATTTAAATTACTTTTGGTGACGATGGTACCCTCATCCAACCCTGATTCACCAGGGACTACTTCTCAAGATCAAACTGCGGATACCCTGACTCGAATTCGACATGTTCTGAATCTGGAGAAAACGAATCCGAATCTGAATTTACCAGAAAATGCTTTTCTTCGTCCACTCCTCCGAGTGTTAATTCCAAAAACCCTTACTCTAGAAATTCACGTTGCTTTCAACAAATTTAGGTAGAAAGCTCATTTTCAGAGAAAATACGTACTGGTACTGCTCATAATTTCCAAATCGTTCAGCTGAAAATAAGACCATTCAAGTTATCACTTATCTACTAAGTTTATGCTTCCGTTGAACCGTTTTAACCGCTAAAACGTTTCCAAACTTGAAACGATTTATCCTGTGTTTATGGGCTTTCCCAAAACAGTTTTTGAATGTCATTACAAGCAGTGCTGGCACTCCTTTAAAACGGTTTGAAATGTTTACGCAGTAGTTAAACCGTTTTCAAATCAGTTAACACACGTTTTTAAAACATTTTAAATAAAAACGGTCAACGAGCTAAAACGGTTTAAAGGGAAGCATAAACGTGGTAACTGATCAAAATTAGCAGATCTGTGAATGGATATCTGTCATATTCGCCATCAAATACTAACTAACCCCTCGCTTTTATTCTAATCGGTGACTTCACCAAAGAGTTATCTATCTTTCCCAAGTAGCACATAATATGGGGTAAACATCGTTTTTCAGTTGGGCCAATATTTATTCATTTTTGTTGTTAAATCAACACAGTACCAATATTGGGGCAACGTTAGTTTTAACTATGTGGAAACAATATTTAAAAATAATCTTGCACCAATATTGTTTTCATAGATTAATTAACTCTTCAGTAATTTGGATATTGGCCAAATATTAAATTTTATATTATCGAAACAATATTGTAATATAATATTAATTCAATATTGGCATTCAGTTTTTTATTGATATTTAAATTCACTTCAAAAACTTTGGACTCCCAATATTTATTTTCAATTTTTTCACAATATTGATATTTTTTGAAAAGCCCAATGAAGGGCCAATATTTACATACTAATTTTTACCAAGGTTAGATTTTCTGAATTGAAAATGTTGGTCCAATATAGGGTATTCAATGTGCGCATTTGGTATGCTGACCAAAAAATAGATGGAGACTCTGTCTTCACTTTACCTGTTTTAAACCTGGTTCCGGGATGAAGCCAAAAATTGGTTGTTTTCTCTCTGCGGGACCCTGGCGGGACTTAACCGTGCTGATGAGTTGTGATACAGCGAAACGGGTCCACGGATGGTCCGGCAGAGAGAAAACACTTCTTAGTCGGTCCTTATAATTGGTCCGTTACCTTAATTGAATATAATATAAAGCCAAGATTTACATACGTCTTCGGGCCAATATTGGTAATTTCAATTGGCTCTATATTGCATAAAGTTCTTGATATGATATTGATTATTTCTTTTTGGGCCAACATTTGGTTACGTTATTGTACCAACGTTGGTATTTGTTTTTGGGTATATATTGACATACGTTCTTGGACAAATATAGCAGAATGTCCACATCTTTTATTGGGCCAACATAGAGAATCTGACTTGGGCCAATAAATCGTAGTTATTGTCCCAATATTGGCCCAACATGGGAGTGCTACTTGGGTTGTTTAGTGAATGGAAAATGACAATGACCGACATAGAATGGTGGATCCATCGATAAAATAATAATGCAGGGAATCATTCACAATAAACATATTTTTGATGGAATTTGAAAGTCTCTGTTGTTGTCACACACCATCGTCCTTCAACTTGGCTCTTTGCAATTAAAGATCCTGGATACTGGAACACGATCAGCTGGCTGGTGGTTGAAGCTTGCTACTAAGTATAGAACTGAATAAATACTTGGCAAGATCAATACAAACTCATCTCAAATAAAAGTGAATATCCAAAAAAATAAGTCTGAGTTGGGCGACATTCGTCAAATTTGGTTACATCTTTAGATTTGAGAACATCCCAATTTACCCAAAAGATAACACTTCTAGTTGATTTCAGTGAAGAAAAAAGCAGCTCTTACATAGAAGGAAGCAAACAAACTCAGAGTAAAGCAGAGAGGAAACTGAACAAGGTATGATTGGAGGGGGGAAGAACTAATACAGTGAGGAAATTTTAACTTTTAAAAATCGGTTACTGAATAAAAGTAAATGTTGCAACCATGTCTGCGCCATCAAATGTAGGTTTGAACGGGGCGCGCCACAAGAAACGGTACTGCGAACGGGAGCTAGAGAAGAGGCGATTAGGCATTAGACTAGAAAAGAAGCTAGACTGATGTATCCATTAATGGATACAATACTATGGTAATATTAGAAAAAGTTGTATTGCCAAAAACCAACCAATTTTGTCTAATTAATGTCAATAAAGATATTTTTTGTGTATATTAGCCCATTCTTATGTAAATATAATAATACAATGTGGAAAAATATCTATTGCCAATATTGGCTCAATAATGCAAAAAAAAACAATTTTTTTTGTGCTTATCGATTCAATAATGGATAAATATATCACTGTTACAAAAGAAAAATTTGTATTGCCAATATTTAACCAATCTTGGCTATATGCTGCCGATAACAATATTGTTTGTGCATATTGGCCCATTCTAGGATAAATATATTATTACAATGATGAAAGAAGTTGTATTGCCAATAAATGTCCAATGTTGGCTGGAAAATGCCAATATTGGGCCAACATACAATATTGGTCCAATGTATCCGCAACATGGGACCAACATTGTGTGCTACTGGGATAAGGAGCGTTCACAGGTTAGTGGATTAAATGTTATTTTGTTTTTGAGAGTTCAATTTATGCAAGTTTCTATTATTTTGTTCATTTTTATGTATTTTTTGTTTGTTTATAACTTTTTTTTATAACATGTGCATTGTGCATTGTATTTAACAAAAATCGTTTCATACTGTAAACAACACAGATAAAGAAGTAAATTAGAACCTAAGAAATTATGTCCTGTCTTTTTGTGCTAAGATTTTGATTTTGTGGATTTAGAGCGTGCATTAGAGCCTTGTTGAATTTACTAACATTCTCCTACCCTGACGAGAGAATATCCTAACAAATTGAAATAATCAATCTATAGAGATATTGGCTCAAAAACAACTATAGCTGAGTAGCTTCCCGTATGGGACCTCAGTATCCGCTGGGAAACTAGCTAACTAACAAAAAACCTCTTCAGTATTGAATATAGGTAGTGTTGATTGAATGTAGTGTGTGTAATTAAAATTTCAGCACAAGAACAAAGGATGGTACATAATTTAAACTTTTATTGACTTAAACTATTGAATTATTGACTCACAATTATTATTAAAACTTCACAGTATGTTTCGATTTTTGAGGAATGTTCGATCGAGGGTTTCTCTGCCATTCTCTTTCCCCTCAAGAATTCTAGGTCGAGAACGGTACGATTTACTTTAATAATAAAGTAGAAGTTTCACAAATTTTTCGTTTCTTTTACATATCACAACTTCCCTTAAATTCCCCAAATATTTGCTATGTCGGGCGCATGTCCAGTAAGTAAAATTGAGTAAGTTTCCACTTCGTAGGTTCTATTTGTTTTTCATTTCATTTTTCAGAAGATTTGTTGCTTAAAAGGTAATAAAAATTCTCACCGTTCAATCTTACTGATCGAACCCGGGTATGTTATACTACAACAGAGTGTCAGACTTCTGTTGAATAAGTGTTTGATGGAGAGAAAAATACCAGAATTATGGCAAAATGCTGAAGTACCTAATCCTATTATTTAAAAAAGAAGATAGAAAGAACCTAGAAAACTATCGGTCAATAAGATTACCTACTATTTCACCTATACCGGGTGTCAACCATATTTCCATATACAGATTAATCCCAAAAACTCAAAACTAGATACTAAAAAAATACTAGGTTGCCATTTAGATTTATGAAGCTGTGGTCACTTCCGGTAAAACCGGAAGTTGCTAGACTTTTACACATACGGCAAAAAATGACATTTGCCAAACCTTAACTCTACACCAAAATTAATTTCGATCGGAGAAGAAATAAAAAAATGCCAGAGCGAAAGCGATCTCGTTGACACCCGGTATATAATATACTTACAAAAATAGTAGGTACTTAACAAACAGATTATCATACAAATTGGATTCATATCAACCTTGCGAAGAGGCGGGATTCCATGAAGGATACAGTACGATTGACCATCTGCAAACTGTACGGACGCTAATCGGGAAGGCGACCGAGTACATTATATCCCTAGATTTGGCTTTCATCGATTTCCATGAGCATTGGACTCTGTTGAAGCGTGGGCAATCTTAAGGTCACTAGACAATAGAATTGTCTCTAGATAGTCAACAGTCATAAAAAAACATTTAGGAAAATGCAACTATGACAGAAAAACTAGAAGAAGATATGAAAAGCGACAAAATCTCTATACACAGAGGAATACGACAAGGTGACCTAATTTCCCCAAAGCTATTCACGCTAGCCTTAGAAAATGTTTTCAAAAACCTGAACTGGAAGGAATTAATATAGATGGAACAAGAAGACTGATCCATTTACGATTCGCAGACGAAAGCATTCTCATTACTTGAGTAAAACTAAAATAATGAGCATTTTGTCAACAGAAATGAACATAGAGAACTATACCCTAGAGAATGTAACTGATAACATATATCTCGGACATACAAATACAATACAATTGGGAAAAGAAAATCTAACGGCCGAAATCTCTCGACGGAAGGGACTATGTTGGGCGGCTTTTGGTAAGCTCAGGTTTATCCTTGGATCGGACGATATACCAATAAATTTCAAACGAAAAGTCTATGATTTATACATACTACCTACCGGTCCTTACATGGCTTGGAAACCATCTTCTTAACCCGAAGATCTATACACACCCTGTAACACAGCGTGCAACGGAAAGGATTGGTTTGAGAGATCAAGTGCCAAATGATGAAATCAGACGAAGAACAAAAGTGGCGGATATGGTGCGAAGAAGAATACAGCTGAAATGGCGATGGGCTGGCCATATCTATAGCACGACTACAGGGGGCCGATTTTCGTTTCAGGGAGTAGAGCTCCCCGATAGAAGGAATGTTTTGTCCTTACCAACGTAATCGAAATGTAAACTAGAATGATAAAGACAAAAAATTTGTTCTCTTGGGGAGCTCTACTTCCTGAGAGGAGAATCGGGCTCCAGGACGATAGATGGACCAACAGATTGATAGTATGATGCCCAAGAGAAACAAAGAGAAGTGTTGACGTGACGTAACCCCAGAAAAGATAGCAAGTCGATACCCAGAATATCGCTGGAAAGAACTGGATACAAAAATCTCAGGACAGGAAACTGTGGAAAGATATGGAAGAGGTCTATATCCAGGAGTGGACGAATACGGACTAAAAAAGAAGAAGAAAAAGATTATTGGAACCAGTCACTGATAAAAAAATTAAGCAAGCAGGAATAAAAATGGCGGTGACAGGATATATCGCCAGACAACAAGGATGCAGAAAAAACAGGAAACCACGAAAAAGACACTCCGAAGCGATGGTTAGATGATCTGCCAAGGATATCAGGCAAAAATTAGATCCAGACTGTTGAAAGGACAAAAGTGGGAGCTATTTTGTGAATTGGTTAAATATGGGCTTTTGATTGTTCCTTCCAGTCCAAACCAACTCGTTTTGATTAATTTACACGCGTCCGTAGAAATTCGCATCCAGTGTATAACCTCCGACTATACTAAATTGTAGTTCTTACCTGCATTCCACATTCATTATCGCAAGCCAAAAACAATGGTTTCCTGTCAGGATACTTGTAACAAAACTGCCTCCGAAAGTTCTCAGCATACAAAAGCAATAGTTTTTCCTTATTCGAGTTTTTCAGATAACTTTCGGGAAAATTGGAGCGATCCTCGAAAGTAACATTAGATAAATCTGGCCAGCACAACTTAATCAGCCCCAATTCGTCGGATATTTGCTTCAAATAATCTATGGTTATGTCGATGGGCTCCCCGAGTTCTCTTGGAGCATCCAGCATCTGGATGTAAGACAATAAGGGTTCTTCTGGTGCGTCTTCATCGATACCTTCGCCGCTTTGCTGTTCTCGTAATGAAACTGGAACACTACTGCTGCGAGAAGCATAGCTTATTTCTTGTGACTGTTGTTCTAGTTTACTGCCGGTAAGGGATCTTTTAACACTATCTGTTGAAACTTTTTCAGCAACACTCTGATCTAAGCTCATAGTTATACCGAATTTTTTTTTAGTTTTAAATAATGCTATTTGAACAAAGATTATTTGAGATGCCTAGTCACTGAATATGTCAAAAGCGTCTAGGTTGCTAGGAAACCTAAATTATTCCATGTTTTTTCGATAATGGACGCGTTCATGAATGTAGGGCGATGGTAACGTGAGGGCGAAATAGAATGAGGTGATATTCATAACGTTACGTCGTGTCCGTGGTATTTTATAATCTCGTCAATTTTGCAAATGATTTTGTGAATTTCTAGATGGTTGTATGAAGTCCCAAAGTTGTTTGTGAATCATGTTTCTGTCGAAAATTATCTCATTTTCCTACTCTACAAGATGACAATTATCAAGTGCACTTTTCCGCACGCATTTTAGTTTGGAAAGTTTCACTTTTCCGCACTAGTGCGGAAAAGTGACAGATGTTACTTTTTAAATTCTGAGCTGACACACATTGGAAAATAACGTATAACGGAAAAGTAACAAAAATTACGAGAATTGCAAAAATTACGGAAAATTTAAAAAGTTACGGAAACCACCATTATTAAAAATTAAAAAGCAGAATTATAAAATTTGAGTATTACAAAAGCAATGGAAATTATTGGCAATTTCAAATATTACGTAGAACTACAAAAGTCATTGATAAATTACGTAAATTACAGGAATTATAAAAATGAAAAATAACGAATATTACAAAAAATCACGGAAATTTCAAAAAATACGGGAATTACAATTATTGAAAAATTACGAGAATTATAAAATTACGAAAAAAAAACATGGAAATTTCAAAAATTATGTAAAATTACGAAAATTATTGGAAAATTACGTAATATGGAAAAATATTAACAAAAATCGGAAAAATTTCAAAAAATCATGGAAATTACATTAATTATTAAAAAAATTGAGAGAAGAATTAAAAAATTAGAAAAAAATCGAATATTACGGAAAACAATGAAAATTATTGAAAAAAATTACGCGAATTTCAAAAATTACGTAGAATTGCAAAAAATTATCGGAAATTACGTTTTACGAAAAAATAATAAAAATCACGAGAATTTCAAAAATAACGGGAATTTCAAAAACTGACGGGAATTATCATTATTGAAAAATAAAATAAAGAAATTACGGGAATTAAAAAAATAACAGAAATCACGAAAATCATAAAAAATTACGGAAATTAGGAAAATCATAAAAAAAATTAGGATAATTAGAATAATTATATGAATTGCAAAAAATACGGAAATTACGAAAAATTGAAAAAAAAAAAATATCGGAAATAACACAAAAATTAAGGAATTTGTTAATTAACGAAAATTACGAGAATTGAAAAAATTGCAGAAATTACGAAAAAGTACGAGGCACGATTAACATTGAAAATAGGCCCCCGTAAATTTCAACCAAATTTCAATATTTTAGAGGTATCATCATTGCAAAAAAAAAATTGGAAATGTAAAGAGGATCGTATGTCTGTGATAGCAGATATAGCTTGTCAAAGTACGTAGCAGGTCTTGCTATGCTATGCATAAGAAATATCCGAGGAAATATCAATACGTAGATTTTCTCGAATATTTCGAAAAATACTAATCCGATTTTGACGTTTTTGGGGTCTTTTTGTAGGTATGTATGTGAGTAAGCAATATATCTAAACTCAAATATTTTAATACAGGGTGTTAAAGTAATTGTATATTTTAATAAAATCTCGATATCAAAAAATAATGTGAAACACAACAATAAACCTTCATAATTTTAACTTACCCTGAAAGCATGTTTTAAAAAATAATATACAGGTTGTTTGTCTTACTCAGACCCATTTTTAATTTAGTAATAAAATTATTTGGGGCAGCATGTTTCTATCAGCAGCATCATTTATTTCATTGATAATATTATCTTGTGGATAACTAATATGTTGTTGGTGTCTGGCATATATTAAAAATCATAGTCCAATAGCCACGTGACAACAGGCCCCAGAACGACACATGCATTAATATCCAGATACTTGTGAATATTCGGATCTTGATCATATGTTATGGCCAGCTGGTACTTGATAGTGTTGCGATGACGGATGTTTATTCCAATTTTTTTCAAAGTTCTCTCAAAAATTCTTTGGCATCCCTCTGTAACCTCGGTCTAATACAAAAATGTCACCTTCTTCAAACCTTTCTCGTATTTCAGCCACATCTTGATTGAATACGTGTAAAATAGTAGCTGCATCGTTGTTACGACTGTCCTAAAAGTATGGACCTTGCATTGTTGAAATGTATTCATCAGAGGCACATAATATTGTCGGTTTCAGAAGATTATATTGTTTGTGGATAGAAAATGATCGCTGAGGTACTTGAAAGTTGCCACTTTTCTCAATTTTGATATATGTAGCATTTATCACTCATATAGCCTAGTGTTGCAGGTCGCAAGAAATCTTGTCTTGTTCGGCTATTTCTTGTCTTGTCTTGCTAAGCAAGACAAGAAATATCCAATTTCTCGTTCTTGCAAATTTCTTGCAAGCCTATTTCTTGTTCTTGCTGCAAGACTCTTGCAATTTCTTGTTCTTGCTTTATAAAAAGTTCCTACATAGATTTTAGGTTAGTCATAGTCCCCTTTCAAAGAGCAAGTTGAGTTTCAAAATGTAATTAAACTTCTTTGAAAAAACTCAAAAATTCAGGGCCAGTTTCACAAACGGTGGTAATGCAACAGTAACCACAAGACACTGGTAACCTACAATATATCTGTTCCATAGTGTGTGGTTTAGCCAAAACCATTGGTCAAGCTTCAGATTATTCAATGTGGTCAACTCGCAACGATGAGTTTGATAACCAGTGAACGTTACCACCAATAATTGTGAAAGTGGGCCTAAGATTACATGAGACAAGTCGACGAAATTGAATGTTTGATTTTTGCAAGTTTGTTCAAGTTCAAGTTATTATATTGGAACTTCAAGAAATATTTTTTGAGTGAAAACTTATTTGGTCGCGCTCAGCCAGCACACTTTTTTGTGGGTATTGAATGAAACTGAGTCGTCACGCTCGGCTATGTAACGCACATTTGGGTACAGTCGGCTTGAGTAGACTTCAGCCAAGCGAGAGAGAAAAACACCCATCACATTTTATTTCAAGTAATTTTCTACAATAATCTTTTTTTTTTCTTTGATCGTAATTTAATATTATATTAATATATTATATGTGCTTTATATGTAAATGTGACAGAAATTGTCGTGTTTCATACAGGCATAATCTAAAGAATATCTAGCAAATAGATTTAAATCAAAACTATTCATCATATCTTTGATACAAAGGTAGATCAATCTGGGCATTGAATATAGCGCATAAAAAATACCTGTATTTCATATTGTTAATCACGCTTACTTACTTAATTGAAGTTTTCACTTCTGTTATGGTCTTAAAGTCTTGAAGCACACACCATTTTTTACAAATTTTGCTGAGACAGTTTTTTTGTTTGTTGTTTTTCATTTGAATAAGAATTTTTCAAAATTTTTGCAACTGCTTCTTCAATGAAACGTCCCATTTATGTATCAAACTATAAAAAAGTTTCTTTTTCATTAAGTTTTTTTATTTATTTACAATAAATAATGTTATGCGAGTGTAAGTAATTGTGCGTACTTTTTAGTTAATGTTTATTAACTACTCAATTATTATTATTTAAAATAAATTATGCAAGAAGTCTTGCTTCTTGCAAATTTCTTGCACAAGAAATCTTGTTCTTGCTCAACAGTTTCTTGTCTTGTATATTTCTTGCTAATCCACTTTTTGTCTTGTTCTTGCATGCAAGAACAAGACAAGAACAAGAAAAAGCAAGACAAGAACAAGAAATACCTGCAACACTAATATAGCCTTAAGAATTGTAGGTGTTTCGTTATACAAAATGTTATAAAATTCGCATACGTGATTATTTATATATTTTTCATCTCTAGATGCCCATATCCCAAATTCATCGGTACAATATTGGTAGGTATTTAAAGAGATTAATATCTTGACAACTGTACTATACTTACTAACTGCCTGGAAAAATAGCCAAACATAGCCATTAAGATGTGTCTGAGAGTCCCTGACAAAGTCTGCACATAAATAAAATTGAATCAATTTTTTTTACATTGGAAATGTTTATGGTCTCGCCAAAAGACGGTGGTGTCGCCAGGGGCGTGCGGTGACATAACCCGAAGCGTGTCGCAGTGGGCGCAACGCCTTGCCGAAAAGCAGCAGCGCGCGGCAAGTGTTATATCGTTATAAGGGCTGTCAAAATTGAAAAAAAAAAATTATAATATGGGGATTATGGGAAAATGGGACAAAAACCATAGCGTTTGTTTTATTGGATGAGGATTTCAATGAAATACTAGATATTTACGATACAAGTGAGTTAACAGCATACTTAGGATACGCGTGTAGAAGTTACACAACGAGTGTGTAGCACGAGTTGTGTATCTTACTGGCGTAGATAAATATACAGGGTGTCCCAAAAAGATACCGACAAACTTTAAGCGGTAGTAGGGGACATCAAAACATGCATTTTTGTTTATATAAACATATGTCCGCAAATGAGCCATTTGGGCTGTAGAGCAAAAAAAACTGTTTTCATTCTTCGCAATAATTAAATCACTGTTTACTTATTAAATTTGCTTTATTAACAAATCAATTATGGTTTACAATAATTGTTAAAAATGTTGACCATTTACTTCAATGCCAAGATTGCACCTTCGGGTCATTGACTGAAAAGTTTAGTCTACGAAACACCTGTTCGTAATGAGGAAGATCTGTTAGCAAGGATACTGGCGAGTTGTACCCATGTAGAAGCTATTCCCGGAATATTCCAAAGGATTCGCGAGTCAATGACCCGACAGTGCAATTTTTGCATTGAAGTAAATAGTCAACATTTTGAACAATTATTGTAAACCATAATTGATTTGTTAATAAACCAAAATTAAGAAGTAAACAGTGATTTGATTATTGCGAAGAATGAAAAGAATTTTTTTGCTCTACAGCCCAAATGGCTCATTTGCGGAAATATGTTTATATAAACAAAAATGCTTGTTT